TCACCAATACGATCCAATCAAAAGTGAGTACTAAAGTATAAATATTATCTGTCATGATGAATTGATGCAGACTATCTATATTCGAAAAAATGAATCAGAAATTATGGGAAAGCGCTTCCGAATAAATCCAGAGGTAGACTAAGCGTGCAACTACAGATTTCAAAGACAAGACTAGATCCCGATGCTATTTCATCCTTCTTCTTATATTAGCTCCGAGAAATTTTTCGCGACAACGAGCATGCAATTAAACGATGAAAATAAAGAAAAAAATTGACAGTAATCATTGGGAATATCGGTATGCTCTACTGGTTTCAAAAGAACCACAGGAATATCGGTGCTTGCTGGGTGCTTGGGACATTATCCATATGACCTGTGGCTCCAGTAATTTTACTGGTAATTCATACTTTGAGCCTCTGAAACTGGTTACAAATATACTAAAGGGTGGCCGTCAAATTTCTCGGGATCATTTTGTATCATAGATTGCGAGTATCGGAGACATGATCAGACGAGACACAAGATGCAACCTCTGGCGTATTCAAACTTCTCATATTCTTCCAAAGAACTATACAAACCTCACCATACAATATTATGAACCAATACAAGTGAGATTATTTCTCCACAATCGAAACCGATCATGGGTTGTGTCGTTTTTAGAGATTCTAACTTTGTATGTGAACAGTGTTTAGGGAGATATCTATTGACCTTATGACGGTTAGCAAGCAGCGTGGTAAGTCTTTGGCAATTATGAAGAGACATGAAAACTTCGCGACAGCAAAGTATGTTTCATAACAATAGGGAAAGTGTAGTTTACACGCTAGTGCTATGCTAAATATCCTTCTGGGAAAGCTTTGAAATTAGACCGTCGTTAGTTCGTTACGTTAACGTTCCTACTGCTGGATACTGAATAAGTATTGTAATGTATCCTTGATCCATTTACACACCCCAAAACTTTATACTCCTCTATGATGGAACAAGCGAAGCCATCTAAGAACAAGACGAAGTATCAACTTGCTCCTATGGTTCTCTCCCATATTGATTGATTTTCCAAAAATCTCTACATAAACTAGGAATTTATCATCAGAAATCGTACTCTATTCGAATCATATGCGGCAGCTTCAGAGACTCTAGGACTACACAATGACCATTGTTTCTTCAAGACATGGTACGACGGAAGAGGTGTAACAAATATAGCACTCTGAAATGAGTATTTAAAACTCTTCAATCAGGAAATATCTCGAAAACCAAGGGCTGAAGTTAAGTTGACAGAAGTGATTGAGAATGACAGCAAAAATGACGCAGAAAAAGTGAAATATATGAGGCTTTAAGCCTAGATACTAAAAAGTGCATGTCTTACGACATGAGATAAGAGAATGACAACAAAATTGAGTTTTTAATATTACTACCTAAGAATAACACTCAGCAGTGACATTACCTAGGAAATGTGACGCTAGTTGTTTAATATTCGAGTAAAGCGCTTACACTAGTTGCAGTCTTGAGTTTTGAGCTGGCCTAGAAGTTTTCATGGTGTTTGTGATAGATAAATTCACGCAACTCTTTGTCCTCATACAGATCATCCATTGGAAATATATATCATGTGTGTACTGACTCCAACGAGAGACAATGGAGACTTTTATACTTCCAGTGTCTGAACTGAGATGTTCGGTAAACCAGACGCGAAATACGTCACATTTCGCAAAATCATCAAGATATCGCATTCATCTCAATCTAAAACTATAAAGACAGGGCCTTAGCATTCCATAAGATTGGATACTGAAATCTCTCCCACATAAATCTACTACCTGAGACAAGTTAGTGGTTTACCGGCTTCATATAAACGTATCTAGTTTGAAGTATCATAGATGTGCTAGGACTTCTAAACTTTGAATCAAATATTCAAACAAAATAACAAATAGTGTGAAGAATTGACGACGTGATGAAATAAGGAAACATAAGTCTGACAGATGAAAATCATAATAAATTGTGATAACAGAATTATAATGGCAACGAAATTTGAAAACAATAGAAGATAACCTTTTAACTAGGCCTAATAAGTGACTGATAGTAAGTGTTAGCAGAGGAAATGTACAGATCAATCTATTTAGCAAAGCTAAGCGCAACTATAGATGAATACTCTTTCAATCCTATCAAATTTATGTTTTTATATATCTTCTTCCTCCTGACATCCCTAGTTTCGCTTCGTGGAAAGAAACTAGCAACTGAGGATAGCGGGATAAATATTTGCAAATAAGCGAGAGTCATTGTACTTTGTGTCTTCAGCCCTAAGACATCTCAGTTCATTAAGGGTTCCAAATTTCGATTATACCTACATGTAGAATTTGGAAGTGAATTCTGTATAGGAATTCATTGACACTATGATTAAGAGTACATTGATAATGAAACCCTTGCAACAATGAGGGAAAACGAAACGTATGATTGAACAGCAAAATAAAATTTCATGCTGCAATGGTAAGGCAATGAAGTGCTGAACCATAAACCTCTAGCCAGATTCTCATATAAATGGCCATATATTGAATTCTTCAACTTTCAGATCCATGAAACGGCATCTTCTTTCGTCTCAGTTCCTGTACGTATAGGTATTCTTTTCTAAATTTTCGTAATCCAGCTAAACCAGTCTATCTACTTAATTTATACTTTGCTCTTATTCTCTTCGTAATTATCACATAAAGAGAATGTTAAAATTCACTACAAGTGACAAAGCGCAATGTTGTCTATCTAGCCGATCGGTCAGCAATTCTGGATTCACTAATTACCTATATAATCTCTCAAATGCGAACTCTCTCAACCGGAAAGATCCAAAAAACTCAGGAAGCACTGAGCAGATAAAGTTGAGTGCACTAGTTCTCAATTTGATGCATAATCTTCGGATCGATCTTTGTGTTGGTAGAAGCATATTCATGCAAGCGAAGTTGAGCTGATCGAAAAACGAGTTCAACTTCATTCCTGTTCAAGATAAAAATCGACGAATGTTTTCAGAAGTCTATGACAATGTTAAATCGCACTTTTGACAACAACAATAACGGAATACATGTGAGAACTGCAGAGTTCAACAAAGTTAATCCCCAGAGACCACATCAACCTGTAGTATGAAGAAGAGAATATTCAAAGACTGATCAGAACAATCACCTCGTCATCGATGAGATCCCTCCGAGACATCGTTATTTGGATTACACAAAGTCGGCATGAGAGAGACTTATATATCCCTCCCAGTCCTCGAAAACGTAAAAGCAAGATGTAGTGTACATCACGTGGTATACACCTATATATAGCCACAAGCAAGGCTTACAGTATATCCCAACCCTCGCAGTACCAAAGCCATAATCTCTCTTCTTTATCGGGTTCCTACTCTACAACGCAAAACAACCATAGCTATCTTTCACAATGATCCTCCCGTCAATTCTGAAACAATCAAACAGTTACATTTCAAACTCTCATCAAAGACATTAGACTTCCATCCGACACCCCGAAGAAATTTGAACCTACCTTCAATGTTCCCCTTTGACCGCAAACCCCAGTCTTTCATAATCAATAGCAAGAGCCCCTCGATCCAAGCGAGATTTTATCAACGGCGACAAACATAAATATTACTGTTGTCAATAAACTCATCATTCCCACCATCACCGCAAGTTTCTCAACAACAAAAAACTCTCCTCGTATCACCGGCAGCGATATTGATTTCCGGCATCCCAAGCATTTACCCGTGAAAATTGATCCGATGTACATACGAAGCTTGGTACCAGCCAACAAACCACAAACCATAGATGTCCAAATCGTCTCTCAGCTCACCAATCCCTAGAGAAATCTTCCAAGATGTGTTTTCCTTGCACAAATGGAGAAAGATACATGACAATCTATCAAATTTATATCCTCCCGTCCCCCGCCTCCCCCCTTTTCCAATTTCTCTCGCAAGCAATTGATTCACTTCCTCAGGCCTTATTTTCATATTTACAATACAAGAACTGCTGGAATTTGTCATGTACAAATACAGAGGTATCTAAATACTTCCATCGACCCTCCTTCTCCCATACTCCGAAGGAGGAAAAATAGCAAACAACCTGCTCAAAAATATGTTCAAAAACCACGCACCCAACACTCAAAGAACTTCAAAACTCTCACCATCCAAACGAATCCACCATGCAACACATTGATCACAATAATACCTACTCAATTCCTCACACAGGCACAAGAAACCCCCATTTCAAGGATACATGCTCGAGTACATAAGCACTCTTTCCAACACGACATCTACATTCATATCTCCACCTCAAGTCTTCACTATCCTCTCCACATCTCCTCTCCCCTCTTCCCTCTCCACCCCCCATTCCTTCCATCCGTTCCATCAAAAGAACTATCCAAACACAAGCAAAATACATCAACAACTCTAACCCTCAATCTAACCAACAATCATCATTAATCATTAATCATTAATCGTTAATTATTAATCAACCACTCAGGAATCAAACCAATTAGCAACAATCCCAACCCAACTTCTCAAGATCGTAAAGTAAAGTAAGACCAACAACTCCGAAAACAATATATAGTTAGTTAGTAGTAACGAAGCCAACTCTATTCATCCATTTATATACTCAATATATTAATCACATAATGCGCACAACAAATTAGAAGAAAAAAAAAGACAAAAAAAAAAGAAAAAAAGAAAAGAAAAAAAAAAAGAGTTGAAATGAAACTACTCCATTTTTCAATCCTCCTTCTTCTACTACACTCCACTCCCCACTCCACAAATCAAACACATGACATACGAGTAAAGATCCATCTCTCAAGAACTTGAATCACCTTCTTCTATTCATTGACTTGAATTATCTCTCTCTCTCTCTCTCTTCTATCTAACCAGCTATGCGGGAATCTATTCTGTAAACATAGGTAATCTTCCTATCAAACACCCACACACACACATACTTAAATATCCTTCATCCTCTCTTCTAATCGAGATTTTCTCTCCTCTATCCATATCAAGTCTAGCTCTACAACTTAGCCTTAGCAGGTTCTAACGTAGGCATCAAGAGATCTCTAATATCTCCCGCCGCCTCATTAAGGTAAAAGCTCATTCTTTCCGAGCCTAGACCCTTAGATACGACGTTGAATTGAATACTATTTCGTCACGTTAGCTTATATTCCTCTAGTATAGAATCTTCGAACAAAAGAAAAAGATGAAAATTCGAGGAAAACCATACCTATTCTCATTAATCATATAAGCAATACCCCAACCATCATCTACCACCTGACTCCATCCATACCCATTAAAGTATTCCGAGCTCAATTGAGAACTCGAAATGAACCATTTGCTACTATATCCATAAGTAGGATCTTGATAGATAGCTGGAAGTTCCTCTCCCGGCTCCAGCAGTTTCTTTAATCCAAACAAGTGACGATCAACACCCTTTCCATCACTAGCAGCTGTGATATATTCCACATGCGAATTGATCGCAGCACGGAAAGCAGCAACAGCTTTAGAAGGCTCGACAGTGTGATCAGAGATAGCTTTACAGAAAGCAACGGAGTCATCGGAGACAGAACGACATGTTTCAGTGCGACCTTGTTGGAAACGACGAGTTGCTGCACTTTCGTATGTAGGTCTGTTCTTACCGTACATCTTGAAATAAGCGAGTTGGATAATCATTTGTACGTAGGCGTCAGGTGAACATTTGAATTTCTTGATGAGACCCTTGCCATAACCTTGGTAGGCTTGTACGCGGAGTTCGTGGGCGGCAATGACTTCGTTGAAATCTTTGGTCGCACGCTCAATTTCTGATTGAACTTCCTTTGTGATATGAAATTTGAGAGGTGTAGGATCGGGGAGGTTAGAACGGACGGAGGGATTGGAGAAATCGAGTTTGTTGTTGAAAATGACTTCGTTTACATAGTCATTCAAACGATGGGTAGGTGTTCCATCCATCATGGAATGTTCGCCCATGAAACCGGATGTACCGTTATCGTTGATGATGAATTGGAGAGGTTTATCAAACCAACGGTTTGCGCCATCACCGTGCCAGTATTGATGCGCTCTTTCTTCGAGGGTGACTGGAGAAGCATCATCTAAGCAAACAACGAATGAAGCAGATTCAATGTCTTTGAGAATCTTGGCGTTTGAAGGGTTTGCCTTGAGAAGAACTTCACGAGCATCAGTCCAGATATCGCGGTTCTCAGATGTAAGAATTCCGACTGCTGGTGTCTTCTCGGCTTTCTCATAAATGCGCTTGAATTGTTGTTCCAACTCAGAAGTGTTCAATTGATTTCCATCAACCTCGTGCATAACCTTGAAGAATTGATTCTTTCGAATGACCAAGATATGTTTATTCTCCTCCGCAGCATATTTGACCGGGTGATCTGCTGGCTTCGAGGGAACTCTGCTGGCGTTGAACATCCATTGATAACTTTCCATAGAAATTGGGAGTTTCTTCATGTACTCTGGTTCCAAAGTTCCACTGTCCACTTGTTTCTTGAATTCCAAAACTGCAGTGCTGATTGCGGCAGCTCTCTTTGATGGATCGCGCCGCCTTCTATCATCTCGGTGAGAATAAAAGTAGCTGACATATGGAACGACTGGATCTCTGTAGCTCAAATATGCTGCATCGTTCCACCATTCATATATCCAATTCTTGTGTTTAGGATCTTCTCGACGAGCAATTAACTTGGCTTGAAGTTTGCTACCAATTCCACCAGGCTTTATGAATTCTTGAACAGCTTTTGTGGTGTTTTGCAATTCGGAGGAGGTAAGCAAGGGGTGAACCGATTTAAGGTATCGAACAGCTGTTTCTTCTAAAGTAGGAACTGGAAGCTTTGGGAGTGATTCCTCAAATCGCAGCATAGGACCTTTAGTTGAGTCCTCCTTATAACCTGTCATCCAAAATCATCAGCCATCAACTCCTTGGTAGCGGGGCGCAAGGGGAATATATTCGTACCTGCTGGAAGAGAGCTATTGCTCCGCGAATTTGCTGGTGCCATACCTAGAGTCTGCAAATTCTCGTTAGCTCTCATTCCCTCACAAAAGGTCATGTAAACTTACTCTTGAAACTCTTGCAGACGTAAAACTATTTCTGAGCACCGGAGACTGTGTACGACCTTTTGCCAACAGCTTCAACATACCAACGACGTTTCTGTGAAACGGGGGAAGAGCAGAGAGATTTATTGTAGATGGAAATTAAAGAGAGATTCTGCTTGGGAAAAGTAGCAGGGAACTGGTAGATTATGGCTTCTTTTAGATAGAGTTCTGGTTAGTTGCTAATTACATATTCGTACATAAACAAGTACATTTGGCCTTGGGGCTCGGGATCAATGAAACATGAAGCGAGTACCGAGGCAAAAAAAATGAAGCTAAAACCCCCACAATGTTACCACCTCGACCACTTCGCGCCGTTCCTATACTTCGTATCCAAGAATGCCGCAAACACCCCACAATATATCTGGAAATCCCCTCGGTCGCATTGAACATTTTCATTGTGGGTGGATAAATTTCGGTCAATTTCTCAGCCAAAGTGATGAGTCCATTGTCGGAATGAATCATGACAAATTTGCATAATTATCCGTCTTCCACCATCCGGCTATACATCTTTAGAAAGGGGGCGATGTACTTTCTGTATATACGAGTACATCCTCGGTCGTCCGGAAAGGAACGTTGAAAATATCAAAAGTATCATTTGACCCCCTCAAAGGAAAACAGACGTTTTTGTTCAGAAATGCTGCGCCTATCATCGGATATATCATTATCAGGAATGACGGTTTACATGTGATCTGTCTCAAATCCATCTTGTCAGCACCGTCGTTGCTCGTCTATCCAAAGCTCCGAGGATAATATTACCAACTTCCAGTCACCTCTTTCATCATGAAGACTCAGTCATCTCTCTCTCTCTTTATTTTGAAGGGAGATGTCTATACTGAACGTGTCGGTTTTATGAATGGGGGCAAGCCCCCAAACCCCCTCAGCTCGCTGCGCTCGGAATTTCTATATTGTGATAATCTGGGTATGTGATATTACGAATCATAGAAAGACCAACATAGGTGTCTCTTCTGTCGTAGATTTCTACCTTCCTCCGCTCATCCAGTAGTCTTCTACATTCTTAAAGCTCATGATCCGTTACACACAAGCTTTGAGGTTTTGTAAAGATATGTCCTTTCAAAATAGTCTGCCTCCACGGCAGTGGCCCTCGGAGAGCCAGCGGAGCGTCATTCCAATGTTTTTTCGTAAAAAGATCAGAGTCGGTCTCCATATCAATACAATGAAGTATAGTGATCAAAGATCTGCTTCGGCTTCCGCTTCCCCTATGCAGCACCCTTGATTCCCCTAGAGACTCAGCGGAGCCTCATTTGAACAGTTATAGTATGAAATTGTATCAGTTTGGAGTATCAGTGACAGGCTGAGATTATGATTTGAGAATTTATTTTTATTGAGTAACCCATTTTCATGCATGTACCGATCTCATCTCCTCTACGCTTTCGGATGTATAATACAGAATCTTCATACATGTCACATCATTCGTTGACTACTAGGTATTTCCAACCCTCCCTCACCACCTCCTCCTACTTTTACTATTCCTTCTTCCACTATCTCCTCCTCAGATACCAATTATGTGCCAACTGCAACAATTCCATAGAAAATGGACTAGGCACTTCACTCAACCCTGGTCTCGCTACTGGATGTCTGAGATAAACCGCACTGCAAATCTTCTGATTGACCTCTAGATACCTAGGAATAAATGCAAAAGCACTCATGTAAGGTCTTGGTTGCCAAGGAGTCATATATGGTTTTGATTCATCAATTGGATTTTCCCTCGCACGTTGAATCGCCAATTTTAATTTTTCTTGGTAATCGGGTGTGTCTTCTGCGTTGATTACTGCGGGGGCTTCTGAAGCAATTGTTTCCAAATCTTCGGATTTGGCGAGTTTAGTGGTGTAGGAGTTGAGCATGGAGGTTAAGTCTGCAACGGATTTGCGGTTTAGTTGGGAGAGGATGGCTCTAATTTCGCGCTTGAGTTTGCGGAGAGCGATCTTGCGTTTGCCGGATGGGGCGTTTTTGCTATCGGTTAAAAGAACATCGGCGTGTTCTTGAAGGGTACGGAATTCCATGCGAAGGTTTTCCTTTTGCTCTTTTTCTTTGGATTCAGGAGTTTCTGTGGGAGTTGCGACTTCACCACCTTCGGTCGCGGCTTTTGCAGCTGCATCTTTTTCTCTTTTGGCGGCAGCATTTTTTGCTTTTTGATCATTCATTGCGCGAAGAGATCTTCTGAGTCCCCGACCACTTTTGATTTGGTCTGCGGTTTTGGGGGCGCCGGTTGCGAAGAGAACTCTCTCAACATCCACTTGAAACATATCACCTGGATTTAAAAGATATCCTGGATATGGCATCTAGTTTTGTGTAAGTAAATAGTGGATTCTAGCCCCAGATATCATCGAACCCATACCTTCTTTCCGTTGACCTTAACCTTTCCGTGAACGACGAATTGCCTGGCTTGTCTTGTACTGCTTGCGAATAGCGCTCTGAATATAGCTGTGTCCAATCGTCTTTCGATAGGTGCGTAAACCATGGACATGTAAGGTATTTGATTCTTGTTGAACTGTGGACGAGAAGAACTGTCTAGCTGTTCCACCCCGGATCCTCGTCCAGCAGCCAACTCTGAACCATCATGTTCAGCTAAATATCTATGATCCATAGGGATGACAGCTTTTGCTCTCGGCCTGAACATTCTCGACCATTGCCCCTCTCGAATCTGCTCTCCATGATATGCTCGACTTATCGACTTCGCTTTCCATTTTTGTTGAAAGAATGTGACACCTTCCGGCCTTGGCTTATATCTTGAGAGATTGTATAAATTGATTTTGTTCCATGTTTGGCGGATTTTCTGAGGGAGGTATAAAATGATTAGCCCACTATGTCCCTTGATCATGTAGAGTGCATTGTAGGGCGGGGAAGGACGATTTTCATGAAGCAGAATTCTCACATACCACTTTCTTCAACTGATGAAATCTTGACCTCATGATTAATTGTATATGAGGTGGTCGTCGCTCAATATAATAAGCTTGAATATAGATTCAATTTCACGACGATGATGTTGAAATTCATCAATCCTCGAAATAAAAAAGTACGCTAATGACACTAGCGTGGACCTTTTTAGTTTTCCACCGGCAAAAAAAATTGACCATACAAATTAATTTTCTATCGCTGTAGCTTCTTCCAAAACCTTTTAAGCTCTTGAATAAAATCCAATCCAAATCTTTCTTTCGCATTGGAAATTTGGAAATCCTACAACAATTTCTACACGACGCATTCTGCAAACTTTTACTTAGCATTCATATCTTTGATCGATCTCCAGTGAGCTTTATCAATTCACTTGATAACATCTCTTAAAAGATTATCAGCCTCTTCAAGGGTCGCGCATCACCTTTTTTTAATCTGATTCTTCACCCCGCCTTGTTCGCCTTATCGAGTCACTAAAGACGGATTTTATCTATCTAGATAATAAAATAACAATCTACCGTATGTCTCAATTGATAAATCACTGTCGCAATTACTCATTCGGTTTTTTAGCTACATCCACATACTAGAATACATTAGTTGCACAACTTTTCGCAAACGATCATGTCTGATATCAACATGGAAGGCCAAGAGCCAGTCGCAGCAGCTCCAGCTACTACCAACGAGCAAGTAAAGATCGAAGCAGAAACTGCTGCTGCAGCACCAATTGAGCCAGAAATCAAGGACAAGAAGATGGAAGATGCTGAGGTTACAACTGAAACCAAGGAAGAGAAAGTAGAGGCTACCAATGGCGATGTCAAGAAGGAGGAGGAAGATGAGAAGAAGGACAAGAAGTTCAACTATGACGAGCCAAGATTTTACGACAATGGAGTTTTGAAGACAAATGCCAATGAGGTTCACGGTCAGAACAACAGCAAATATGACGCTTCAGTTCTCCCTGCATCTAATGACATGGGATTAATTCGCCGACAAGTAAGACGATTGCTTTGATGTCGGGAGATTTTTACTAATTATTTTTGTGCGAAGGTCGAATTCTACTTCGGTGACTCCAATTTACCAACTGATCAATTCTTAATGAAGACCACTGGAGGTGCAGAGAATAAGCCAGTCTCGATCGCAACTATCCACTCATTCAAGCGCATGCAGCGATTCCAGCCATACTCCTTGGTCGTCGAAGCACTCAAGCAAAGCAATTTCCTTGCAGTCGAAGGAGAAGAAGGAAAGGAGACTGTCAAGCGCGTAAAGGCTTTCGATCCATCTGCCAAATCTCCAAAACGTGAGGCACGATCAGTTTACATCAAGGGTTTCGGTGATGAGGAACCAAGTTCTCAATTCGATATCGAAGCTTTCGTTGCTCCATACGGTGAGGTCAACTCTGTCCGTCTTCGTCGTACCGAAGAAAAGCTTTTCAAGGGATCTGTCTTTGTTGAATTTGCGGATGAAGAAACTGCTCAAAAATTCCTTGCTCTTGACCCAAAGCCACAATGGAAGGGAAAGCATGTTTTGGAAATCAAATCCAAAACTCAATATATGGAAGAAAAGAATGAAGAAATCAGAAATGGTACCTTAGTCCCAGGTCAACACAGAGGTCGTGGAGGACGTGGAAACTTCAGAGGCCGTGGTCGCGGTGGAAATTTCGTCAAGAAAGAGCGCAATGAGGAAGGCGATGGAGACCGTGATCCAAATGACTGGAAGAAGAGACGTGAAAGCGACAGAGAGAACGGATTCCGAGGTGGTCGTGGAGGTGGACGCGGTGATCGTAACCGTGGTGGCCGTGGTGGAAGAGGAAATGGCAATGATAGAAAGGGTGGTCGCAATGATCGTGGGCCACGAAACAATGATCGCAACAAGGAGAAGAACGGGTATGCTTTTCATCTTTCTATTTCATATCATATACTAACGTAAAAATAGTGATGACAAGGAAGTCAAGACCGAAGCATCTGCTACGGAAACCGCTGCCGTACCTCCAACAAACGATAAAAAGAGAGCCAGAGAAGATGATGGAGGGGCCGATGAACATCAAAATAAGAAAGAGAAGACTGCAGCTGCAGCTGAGGTCCCAGCCACAGCTTAAATAATATCCAGTCCAGTTTTACATTGATCTCTGCGTTTCC